TGGCACGTTGCACTTTAAAATTATCCAAGTAGCACACTGTGCCATTTATTAGGTTAGCATGTTTTGGACGTAGGTGAGAATTCGGTCCAAGAATCCGAATTAAAAATATTGAATTGGTTAATAGTTGGAATCTGGTTTTCAGGGAACCGTTTTGGGTTTGTTTTTTGTTTTTGAAATTAAAAGAAAATTTGGAGGAGTATGTTTATAAGATGAAATAGTATTTATATTCATTGTTAGAATTTGTAAATGTATTTTATTTAGGTAAAGTGTATGATTTGTTGATTTAAAAAATGAACTTGATTTATAAGATAAATGTGTATTTTTAAAATTATTTTTTTATTCGAATAAATTCAGGTAAAAAGAAGAAGTAAGAATTGATTTAATTGTAATTTTGCTCGTGAGAAAAGTTAGTAAAAATTATTAAAAGATTCGTGGGCAAAAGATTACAGTCTTTGTTACTTTATAATTAATAATTTAGTTTTTTTTTGTAAAAATTTAAGTTAATAATAATGAAGTTAAACAAAAAATGTATATTTTAAAAAGAATAAATTATTTATTGAAATAAATAAGCTTAATAATATTTATGAAAGTAAATTTTATTTTATTTCTACTTTTGTTTTTAAGAAATGTTAGTAAACATTATTAATAGATGTGTAGGTAAACAAATAAAGTAATTTTTTTTTTCAAAAATTAATTGTTAAAAATTAATGAATGTTTAATTATTAAAAATAACATGTTATGAAACATTTGAATATTAATTATTTGCATAATTTTTTTATAAAGTTAATTATCAAAGCTAATTAAATTAAAAAGATATAAGTGAATCAAACTTTTATTTACTAAATGAAAGAAACTACACAAGTTGAAGACAAATAATTATGGGATTCGATCTTTAGTGTCAGGTTGTAAGATAATGATTTCTTGTGTGTCCTAGTGTTTGATAGTATGAATACTTCTTTGGTTGTCCTTCTTCTTTTTTGATATCCATTTATGTCCTAATTCTAGATTATTTTGGTTGATCCTCTTTCCGTTCCTTCTTGTGGTTGGATTTGGTCAAATTTGTGGGTCTTGGTATGTGGCTAATAATCTTCATGTCATAGCTTTCCAAACATATTCTTGTACACTTTGATGACCACATCCAATCCATAGTGTGAATTGAAATAGACATTGAAACATGAGTGAATATGCATAATCTTATAGTGCGAAAGCCTGCATATGTTTTCTCTAAAAAAAGGTTAAAAGGATTCATGTTTGACCTAGTTTCTAATGCATAAATTGGAAGAAAACAATTGCATGTAGTCCTTTGGTCAACCTTTGATTGCAAATATGTCTTTAATCTTTTAGATTTTCTTTTTGTTAGAGGGTAACGAAGTCTAAAGTTGGGTGAGTTGATAAGTGTCTAATATGAGTTAATTTTGAGATTAATTTTACATTTATCTTGCTTTGATTTTATTACATTTCTGAATAAATCACCACGGTTTAGGTTGTTTTGTAGTTCTTGATATCAACATATAGTCAAAGTGGAAAAATAAAGGAAATAGATGGAATTCAATCAATTTTGGACAATGTGCAGCTGAGCAGCAAAGTCGAGCCTTGATGCGCACAAGAAAACCTTCATGAGGAGGAAACCTTAAGCACTGAACCCAAGGGTAAGCAATGAAAACTACTTCTTAAAAAAGTTATCTCAAGGGTTGTAGTACCGAGGCTTAAGCCACATAAGCAAACCCACCATAGAAGAAAACCTCTGGAGCTGGACCCATAAGTGCATTGTTGAGCCATGCCTTGGTCAGTTTATAAAAATATAGTTGTACCCCTATTTTGACAAACTTTTTGGAGAAGTTCTTTTGAGAGATTTTAGAGAGCTTCTTAGACACTTACCTATGTACTTAGTGAACATTATTATAGGTCATAAGAGAGGATGATTCTTTAATATTTTGTATTGTTCTCATCTATTTTGAGGAGCTAAATATCTCTAAGTATTGAAACAATGATGTAACCCTTTGAAACTCTCTTGTAGTAGTGTGTTTTATCTATCAAAGCATGTTTTTATTACATGCTTATGAATTAGTTTATATATTGTTGGATGAACTGATCACTAATCTTATTTCACTAGCTTGCGATTGAGTGTGAACTAGTTCCAAGTTATGGTCTAACTAATTCTCCTTTTGCTTTTAGATAATAGAAATATATATAAGGCTTTAGTTGGTTATAGAACCCTAGTCTTAATGCAAGTGATCCATTGAAGCAGTTACTGATGAATTATACTAAAGTTTGATGATCTTAAGCTCTAGGTGCCATAAATGAATCTAGAGTTACATTCAAAAAGAACTTTCAGGACATGATTAATTGCATCTTTATAAATAAAATTTTAATCATTACAAAAGAGGTACAAAGTGGTCAAATATAGCTTCAAGATGTTTTTATTACTTGCAGTCAACCTTTTTAATCAGAAATATTTTTTTAGCTTATTACTCTTTGAAATCAATTTTATATCCCAGCATCAAATCTGTTTTCATACTTCTCATGCATCTTTTTACCGTTTCTTTCAAGTCAAATTAGGTTAAAACCTTGCTTGTCCTACAAAATCTTTCTGGACACGACATTTGTTGTACTACAAACTATCTAATATACTTGTTGGAAGAATTATTGCTTTGGTACATCAATAGTAAGCTTCAATGATTTGACGAATACGTTGAGAAATAATGAATGATCCCAACCTGTTGTGATATTGTGAAATTAGTTGTGCCACACATGTGTGAGTCCCTTCAAATTTCTTGATCTCCTAGACTTTATCTCTGGTTTGAAGGATTGCTTGACATTTTTATGAGTGTTGCTAGTGGACACATTAGACCTTAATCTTGTGGTGTTGGAATGTGTGATTCAATATTTATAATGATTAGTGACGTGAAAAGTGTTAAGGGTGTCTATAACTTGTTTCTTGGTTTAAAACTTCATTATCTAGAATAACGTATAAGTGTGTGTTCTAATGACTTATTTTGGAATAAATGGTGGTGGTATGCATGAGAAAACTCATTATTTAGATGATCTGACAAATTGTTGATGAATGAAAATGTTAAGATGAGATTTTATTGTTAATTATTTCTTAACCATACTATTAATTATTCTATAGTCATATTAATTCATTTGTAAATTTTAATTCAAACCAATTCTGTTAAATCAATTCAAATTAATAATTATTTTTTAAACAACAAATTTTTACTCAATTATTTATTCCTTTACTTTTAAGCTATAATTTTAATAACCTAAACATTGAATTTAATGTTCTAATCTTAAATAAAATGCACTAATAATAAATTCCTACTTTATAAACTTCAACCACAAAATAATATTAAACTTAGATTATTTAACCATATAATTATACATTTTTCAAATTACAAAAATATTACTAAATTACTTATACTTATATATTTTCCATTTCTTAATTTTTTTTTTCATTCTCAAAAACATAAAATAATACATTTAAAACTTTATTCTACAAAATCCAACCATAAATATAACTATTATTCCATCTCATATAATTTTTTTTCTAAAATTTTTCGTACTATTTATTTTTATAAAATAAAAAAAAATCAGATTATCCGAAAGCCGAATTCCAACGAAAACGGACTATATTAGGACGTGAAAATTCGGCTTCCGGATACCGAATTCTGACATACACCAAAAGTGTGCTACGTATGTAATTGAAAAGCACAAATATGCTATCTCTGTAAATAAAGGTTGGAAGAGTAAAAAATATTTTCTAAGTGTTTGAAGGACTCTAATTTAATATTATTTTCTTTTTCCGTAAACTTTAATTCCGAATGATTTTCCGTGAACAATTAATTTTGAGAGATAAGATAATGTTGGTAAAAATATAGTATTTTTCAAAAGCAGATGTGTTAAGAGTTTAATATAACTATAGTGTATAATTAAAATACAGGGAAGATATTCAATACGTTTTTATTCATTAATTATTGGTGAAAGAATGGACAACACTGTTAAATTGCATTTAATGAAACAAACAATCACATTGATTTTATTGAAGACTTTCTTCCAATTGGCCGATTGAACCAAACTCAGTTTAATTAGGATTTCAAGAATAAATGGAATGAAGAAGATTCTTAATACTTCAATAAAATCCTTAAATAATGATAATTTTAATAACGAAAAATAATTAATTATTATAATAACTAATTTATTATATAGTAAATTATTATAATAACTAATTTATTATATAGTAACGAAAAATAAGGACTAAAACATATTTAATCCTAAATTGATTATTAACATTAATTAGTTAAGAAATTAGTTTCTAAATTATTATTTAATTAAAACAAATTTAAAAATTAATTTTTTTTGTAGTTATTGTTAATGATCAATTGAAAGATCAATTCATAAATTAATTATAATTTTTTTATTTATAATAAAAACTATTTTAACTATTAATAATTTTTAATTTATAAATTAGTATCTAAATTATTCATAATTAATTAATTTTTTGTTACTAAAATTGATCATTATTTAATTTTTTTTATAGCGTCTTTTCTTAATTTCTGCATAAATTTAAGAGGTGTAATTAATAATTCAAATAAGTTATACTAGAAATCATCAAACATAAGTTAATTTTAATTTATATAAAATTTCTTTTTTAATTTTTTTTCTCTTCTAAAAGCGTACATGTAGAATTTTGTTCAAGCAAACTTTTGATTAGAATAAATAATAATGATATAAATAATAGTATATATATCTATCATTAAAATTTGTTGGTACAAGTAAATTCATATACCTCAATTCTTTTATCTATAGGTTTAAATTTTGATATTAGGTTTAGAGATAGTTCATTATTGTTAAAGGAATTTGATATTTGATATATTTAAGTGTTTATATATATAAAAAAATATAAGTTTCCAACCCCACATGATGTCCCAAATCCAAATGGATTTCATAACATTGAGTTTTCTTTGAAGATGCAAGCATCTATGGAACTACTTGTGGTTTGCATGATTTTGATGATTTTGATCCATGGAGGTTCTCATAAGCACTTTTTTACATGTTATAAATGTACATGTATATTAAATACGTTGTGAATACAGAAGGAGGTTACATGAATGGCTCTAAAGTCGAGATATTGTTCTCGATGGTCAGGTTGAAACGATCATAGGAATAATGGGTAATTAAGGTTGTTGCAGTTGTTGTGCGTTGGCAATTATGTTAGTATGCTCCAGAAGACAAAAAATCAATGAATGGAACACCAATGTTCTTCAGTTCCACAGCATCTTGACTCACTTCCTCTTCGTCTCTTCTGGCTATGTCTGTCACTTCACTTTTATTGGAATCGGTATTCACTTGAAGAAAATCATAGAACTCTACTGATTGACTCTTCTCTGCAACATTATATCAGACCAAGATTTTCATTATTAACTCATCACCCAATGCCAAAATATCACTATTCACTTCAACGCATGATTCGTGCAAGAACAGAAATATTAGTTTCAGTACCCTAAGGACACATAATAAGACAAAAAGAAAAAAGTTGCATTGAAAACTATGAGATTCTACTTTGTACTTAGAACAACCCTATATAAATATATAGAATATGTCTTCATATACTTCTTGGTTGGATATAAATATAGAGAACATATTTTCATATACTTCTTGTTTTGAACAATTTAAAAACACATTTTCTTATAAATCTTTGACATGTCATTTAAAAGACAAAATTGTGAATATAGGATTTCACGTAGTTTATGAGCCGATTTGAGTGAAACAAATTTGTTTGATATACGAGTTTATTTTGGTAATTTTAAAGTTAATTTATATATAAGTTATTTAGATTAGTAATTTCATAACGAGTACCAGGAAGATAATACAGTTTTACATTTATTTAACACAAGAGTAAAATACTCAATAAATAAATGAATTTTTGTATTTTTAAAAAAAATATGAAAATAAAAAGTAAAAAAGAATAAAGTGAAATGAATATGAAAATTTAGTATGTGAAAAATATATATAATTTCTCATTCATAAATTATATTTTAAATATGTTTCTTTATGAACAAAGTAATAATTTAATCTCTTCATTTGTAAATCAGCTTCATCAAGCATATCCTTATTATAATTTTATACATATACATAAAGAAAGAAAGTATTGAATGAAGTTGCAGAAAGCAAGAAATGCAATACCTGGAGGCAGTGTGGAAGCAGAAGTTGGATGTTGAAAGTGAAAGGTGTTGGGAAAGTGAAAAGGGGTGTGTGTGAACTTTTCATAATACTTGTCAACAAAAGAAGGGATAGAATTAGTCTCAAAATTGGTGTCAAGGTTTGGAGGAAAAAGTGGCTGTTTGGTGTTATAAACTTTGGATCTTTCTCTCCGAATCCTTGCCATCATCACATGCCAATGGTTTTTCACTGCGTTATCAGTTCTTCCTGGGAAGTGTCTTGCTATCACAGCCCATCTGTTTCCATGAATCCTGTGAGAAGCAAGAAGCCTCTCTTCTTCTTCCTCCGTAAAAGGACTTCTGTTTATTCTCGGGTCCAATTGATTAAACCATCTCAACCTACAGCTTTTCCCTGCACAACAATCATCATCATCACTATACACTTTCACACCACTATCTAATTAACCACACATCTTACTTTCTATACTTACATACATGTTAGTGTGTAACAGAGATCTTACTGTTTAACAGATCTTTAATCAACCCTAGAAGATTAATCTTTTCTGTCTAACCCTAATGGGTTTCTCAAACAGAATAACATAATTTCTTCATCCCAAGAAAATTTTACTCTATTACGAGTACCAAAATATACTGTGATAATAATCACTGGCTACAGCAAAGTTAAACCAGTTAGGTTGTGCTAACTTTTCATCTTTTGCTAGATCGCTAAACCTTACTATTTTGTAATGAAATAAGGTGTTTGATCTTTCACCTGATCTTCCTCGAAGCTTCTCAGCTATGGCGTTCCAATTATGAGGTCCATAGCGTTCCACCAGTTCTCGAAGCTTCTCATCCTCGGCTGGCCTCCAATGGCCTCTACTGCACATATTACTTGGCTCCAGAAGCTAAAACAGAAAGAAAGAACAGAAAGAGGAAAAAAAAACCCTAATTGAAGAATAGGGTATGTTATTTTCCCTACCCTTTTGCTCCTCCACCCCTCTTGTGTGAAGATCTTTATATCTTCCTCTCCCTAAACTATGATGAGCAAGGAATATTGAAGGTATAAGAGAGAGAGAGATAAGAAAATAAGAATAAAGACAAGGCAGTAGAAAGAGACAGAAGAAGAGAATAATGGTGGGGGAAGATGGGAAAGTGTTTTCCGTTAGAGAGTTGGAGGGATTGGACAAACCTCTTACACCTGCGACTGATGCAAACGTTTTGGCTAACAAACCCTCTTATAAGTAACACTCAAACACACAAATAAACAAAACAAAACAATATATTATAATTTATATATACATATATGTATATATATATATATGATGTGAGCGAAAGAAAAGAGGTTGCTTAGAGAAGCGAGTTTGGTTCTGCTTTCAACATCTTTCCAAGTTTCTAACCTACAACGTCTACTTATAACCCACCAATCGTGCTTATTTTTCCATATTTTATGTATTTGCTAATGGAATTTTCATTGACATGGGATACGGTTTTCAATTTTCCACAAAATGGGCATGTCTTATATACACGACGACAATGAAGATAAAACGTGAATCACTTTGCCATCGAGACTAAAAAGTGCTTTTCGAGAGAATAAAATGAATAATGGTTTAATAATTTTAGCCGTGCATGTACGTGGAAAATTCAACCCTAGGGACAGATACATGGTATTCACCTAAGAAAAGTAGTTTTGACATATACAAATGACTAGGTTTTGTTTGTGTGACATGCAAAACAATAACAATTTGGAGGAATGTTTAATATTTTTACATGAAAAAAATTAATCTTTGGGAGAGTTTGGTGTTGTTGTTAGGCTATATTTGGAAGTTATATGCATAGAGATGGATATGTTTCAGGTTTGATTTGATTAACTTTTGTGGGACATAACTAACTACATTATTTGGCTTTGGAATCCTTACATATATACATGTGCACGTGTTCAAGATTATTCCATCATTTAATAATTAA